GTTGAGTCGAGTTCTTTTAATCTCAAATCAAGATTTACACTTGAATCTGCATCAGACGCACTTGATGGACTTTCAACTCCAGAAGCTTTAACTAGATAACTTTTTAGATGTTTTTGTCTCGACTTTGTCGAACTTTGCTGTGAATGAGCTCCGCTCTGCGATGGAAATCAAAGAATTATAGAAGTTAATCGGATTTGTATTCCCGCAGCTCGCCACACAACAAGCGATGTTATGGCATCGTACTTTGGATTTAGGTTTTTGTTTCGTCCTTCCGACGACCAGCAACTTCTGTCCGTCAGCAAAAGGCTGTAGGATCTGCAAAGACTTTCTTTTGTCTTGTCTTTCTACGATTGAGCGACCTGACGAAGACGAACCGTCATCGGTCTTTGCCTACAAATAAATCACGAATTATGCAGAAAGGATAAGAGCTAGACATGCTAAGTTCGACGAAAAAAGTTAGCACTACAAAATAAATGATGTGTCTATTTATGATTGAAAACAATTTGTTTTCATGTAGGAATACCTTTGTGTCCTTCGAACAACACCCCTTAGACTTGCCATTTTCGTCAGATTTCTCACCGCTTTTGCCGGCCTTCTTGGTAGATGTGCGAGTTTAGTCACAGTATGTTGTTCTCTCATGCTTTTAGGGTTTTCGTAGCTCGAAATATTTGATTTCCTCCCGTCTTAAATCTGTCATCTTCGGAAAATCTTCGAGAACTCACAAAATAACCGGAAAATAAACAACAAACTTACACCAAGTAATCCCTGATTGCATATTTGCTTATTCTGTTTCAAATATGGTAGAAAGATGAAAATGTACAAAAAGTTCAGAAATCTTTACGATTAACTGTCGAAATTGACCGGATCGACCGAAATAACGAAGATCAATACAGGAGGATAATTTCGCACGTTTCTTGCTTTTTGATACAATAGCACAGTGCCTTGCTTCGAACATCAAATCATTGAGAGTGATATGACCATTGAGTTCTATAATAACTGGAGGGGCTAACTTTACTGGGGCGAGGATGCCAAAAAAATGGCGGCCAAAGGACGTATTTCCGCTGAAATGATCACTTTGCAGAAAAATAATATTCTCGACCTCCCCCTGGTGTCTATAGTAAATTATAAAGAATTTTTCAAAAACAAACACGATATCACAGAATATGGATATTGTTAGTTCCATATTCTGTGACGATTCTTTTTTGGCATTTCTTTTATAATGCCAACACTTCAATCGTTCATTTGTTGGATGTCGTAGTTTCCACAAAAAGGAACAAATCGCTTCTCACAGGTGAGATAGTTGCTTGTTTGGTTAGTCCGTCAACGATTGAAAAGCAATTATACATGCACTTGAAAAGCCAAAAAATACATATTAAAGATCGTATTTTTTATGAATGACTTTAACGCCAAATATACTGATGTTTTCCTGTTTTTGTTTATAAAATTCTGCATACTTTTCTGTCATTTGTTAATGCATGAAATCGTAAATTCACCCATTTATTTGCAAAATAGTTTCCCTAAATCAGAAAAGACCCTGCACACATTTTGCTCTGTATCAAAAATGTGATCTGGTATCAAAAAGAAATGATCAGCCCCAACGGTGCCCATGATTTGGAGCGGAGCTTGTTATGTTCTATTTGCTGACAACATGCAGGGAAGATCAAGGAGTAAAGATGACTGGAAGATGTTATTGACCAGGCAGAGTGTTAAAAAATGATAATGCTGTAAATATAATTGATTTATTGTCTGCCCTATCCAGAGTTATTTAATTTGATCGTGGTCAAATTCTATGGATGGAGACAATGGACTTACTAAGGATGCCTTGAATGCTTTGAAGTTAAAGTTCATGATCCAAAGAAAGATGGCAAGAAGGTTGTGTGTGTTTTGATGCTTAATGAAATGTCAATTCACAAACATGTAAAATGGAAGGCCATAAGGATTGTGTCTATGGAAACATTTGTACTGAGATTGATGATGACTCGATGCAGATGTGAAGCTTCAATCTGTATAAGCCATTGGGTTTTATGTAACTTAATGTTTAAATCATGTCATATCTTTATCAAAATATTTTAGTGTTGTTTGAATGTTACTAATATCTAATGCACTATACTGAAGCATTAAAGATTCAGTGATGAAACCTTTAAAATTACTGTACTGTATATTTCTTATATATTTCTTATATTTCTTTAAGAAACAGTTTGAGCTTATTTACCTATTAGAGTAAAGAATGGAGATTTATCATATGCATTATTGCTGCTTTTTTAAAGAAACGTTTTTCACTTTTCAAAGCTTTTCTGCAAATTTTTTGCTTCTTATTTCTTATCATGAGATTGATGATATAGAGGTAATATAATACAATAATATTCTAATTTCTAAAAAGCTTTTAAGCTTCTAGCATAAAAGTACACTATAGGTATGTAATTCATTTGGTTTAATTGCCTTGCTATGACATATCTACTTGCACTTCATCATTCTTGTATGAACAAAACACCAGATGTGGATACTCAGAGAACAAAATGCACTACCAACTGCTTATGAAAATTATTATTGAGGTGAAAACTGTGTTAATCATTCAAATTATAGTGCACTTATATTACAAATATAGGAAAAACAAAACAAAGTGAAAAAGAAAGGTAGAAGTATTAAAACTACAAATGAATTGTAAACACCATTAGGAGCATAAGTGTTTTGATGATTATTTGCATTTTTCCCAATTCATATATCAATACAACAAAATCAAAATGTGCTACAACTTCACAGGTATTTGATGCAGTTGCACTTCAGAACATCACAAAAAGGTTACTTAAAGTAATTTCTACACAATATTGTTTGTTTTCAGTTACCAAACCTATGCAGACTTGAGTCTTTTTGAAATTTCATATGAAACTCAATTACAGAAAATCCGTAAATATCCAGAGATTTAATATGTACTTTTTTAAAGAAACAAGTAAAAATCCTACAATTGTGGCGAAAAAAGCCATTGCCCATTGCATGAAAAAGAGCAAAATAGCAATGATAACAAATAAGCTGACTTCTCTCTCGTGAACCGTGGAGATGAACTATGATATACTTTTTTTGTATAGACTAAAGAGTTTAATCGATCAAACAAGTTTGACGCTGGTAAGAAAACGACGCACATCTGCATATTCATACATGTGTAGCCGATATATAGGTCTTTCGTCGATAGTTATAAATGCATCATCGTCGGAGCAGATAACTGACAACAACAGTTGACTCGCTGTTATGAATTTAAGGTTTTTACCTTCGTTTTCATCAAAAAATTGCTTGCCGAATCCCAAATACACACATAAATTTTCCTCACTCTTTCCTCAGGAGGGAGTGGGAAAATATGAAATTTTCGGAAATGCGGTCAATTTCGGTAAATCTCAGCGGCAAAGGAAGAAATCCGCCATTTTTTTGGCGTCATCAGATATCTAAGGCCGCGCTTGAGATAGCCGCTCTAGTTATTATAGAACTCAATTGGCAACTCGCGTCGGTAACCTTTGATGTAAGCGTGGCGCGCAGTTTGTTTCGCGCACACCGGAAATGTGACGGCCGCCATTACTCTGGCCAGTAAAGTGTACAACATTTACTATGAAAATATATGGAGTAGAAGCCGTAAATTGGGTTAAAATGTAGATTATTTGAGCTGTTGGCTGTTTTTGGCATCTTTTTGAAAGAAATTGAAATAAAAAGGCAAGTATTTTGTATATATCATTTAACAAATACATTTATTTAATATATTTATAGCGAAATTCAGTCGGAAAGCTTGAACAGGTTCTGAGGTTCACAAGTCCTGAGGACTTAAATGAACTTGGATGTATTACGTGTTAAATATATTATTGTGATATAAAAAGCTTTTGTTTTCAATTTAATTTTATAAAGGACAAAAAATTATATGCACAAAGCCCTCAAAGGTGTGTGACTTAAATGTACTTTCTGTCTTTCTTTTTAGTTGTTGCGAATATGCGGTTCGCAAATTTTATGGCGTAATAAATACGCATTCTTAAAAAAGTTTCTGCAAGAACTCAAATGGGAATTCCGTACAGCAATCAAACTCCTTTGGTATGGACTTGACGTTGTCTAATATACTTCGACCAACACCTTCGCTCTTTGTATAGACAGAAAACGTCTTAATAAATGTGTCTTCAAGTTTGATGATGTATTCCAGATAAGGAGAAGATGGTGATTGTAGTCCTCCTAAATCAGATTTCTTTTCATCGAATGCTTTAAAGTGGCAGAATAACTTTCTGCTATCATCCAGTTCTGTAGATGAAAGAGCATTGGTCCATTTTAGACAAGAGTGGAGTTTGAAACTCTTCATTAGAAGAAAACAAGACACATATGCAATGTCATTTTACCTCGTTATGTTAGTAGCAACATTTGGCTCCTTCTAATTCGAAAACAGTTAAAAATAGCTTTGGAAAAAGTACAACTTTATAATCTCGAATCAAAAAGTTGCAGTAGAGACGCACACGTGAGAAAGATCCACAGCAAACCCAATATACAATGCTTTGGGCGATTTGAGAATTGAATAACATTGGAAACTTATTTTGATAAAGACATTTCTGAGTGAAAAATTTGTACAAAATAACAGCAATATAATAAATATTATATTTTCTTAATGGTTACAAGGCTAAAAACATGTCTTTGTCATTAAAGATTTACATGGTGCACAAAAACCTTTAACACAAAACAATTTAAATTTAGAATGTGTGCATTTCATGCAATAGAATAAACAGAATAAAATACAGCAATTCAGTACACATATTTACATTTAAAATTTTTAATGACAACTTTATTCAGAGATGGATATAAGAGAGGGGTGTGCAGCCCTCCTAGCTTAAGCTAGATGGGGGTGCAGAAGAAATGCTAATTTCTCTATGAATATTGGTATACTAAACAATTAAGCTGAAGAAATTGTGATCAATGTTCAATAGAGCACCCGTACAAAAAGCACCCAATCATAATAAAAACGTAATAGAATTTAACAAACAAAGTTTAACATGCTACTGCAACAAGTAGCCACTAAAATCTAATCCAACATACTAAAACTACATAACACAAGACACTTGCAACATAATCCTCACTTGAGAACTGAATGCCAAAATAACAACTAGAACAAAATATCAGAAAATAAATCATAACTATTTGTAATAAATTTAATAGAGCACAAATCACAACAAGGCAAAATTTATAAATAAGGCAAACAGAGTGTATACCTCACTAAAACTACATTTGGTATTAAAAATGCCCAACTATTAACATATTAACATTTCACTCATGCTTAAAATGATAAACAAACCCTCCATGGTTTGAAACTGAATGTTGCAAATTATTATCATTTATAATTCACACACAAGCATCATGAATCATCATTGGATTACTTGGTTAGCTGGTTGATTAACTTGATTTATAGTTCAGCAAGTTGGCAAGTTGCAACCTGAAATATTACAGCGTTGGTACAAGTAAAACTCTGACAAGTTTCTGTTTTAAATAATACATTTATAATAACACCTCAAAAGTTTGAAATTTATAATTCAGAAAGGACCAAAACGCAAGAGATTTTACTTCTGGACTTCTATTCACCTAACATACTGACAACTCTATAGCAGTAACATAAACACCCTACATTGAAACATGTAATTTTTACCAATAAAAAACCTTTACGGACTTGCTAGCAATTAAATAATGGTCCCTCACCTCATTTCTTTCACGTTTTGTCACAAAATTCCATGATCTTCCAAAACAGTTTGCGTTTTAGGCGATTATTATCCCAAAATCGCACTTTTCCAATATTATTTTATAGTACGCCAGCGTCAAGTTACTGGCCAGAGTAATGGCGGACCTAACGCATGCGCACTGAAAATATGCCACGCGTTTCACCTGCGAGTTGCCCTTCAATTATTCTCTATTCTATGGTGGTGGTCAAATCAGAGTGGGCGACAAAAATTTTATTTCATGAGTCCGCGTCTCTCCGCTGACTTTGACCACCAAAATCCGCCATGTTTTTGACCACGCGGCCGCGCGCTAATAATTTATAGTAATTTTGTTCACGTTTCCCCTCCAGAACTCAATGATGAACGCCAAAAACGCTTATTTTATTGGTCAATGGCCAGAGCAGTGTACGTTCTGGAATAGTCTCGACTGATAAGAGGGGTGGCCGGACGTATATAAAGGAATCCAATTGCTATCTTACAATTGGTTCATTTGAATTTTTGTTTTATTGTGATTGGTTTGACAGATTTCGACTGATAGCCGACTGAACTAACATAGTCAAGCTCACTGTCTGAAATGAATGTTTGATCGTTTCATAGTAATTTTTATAAGCATGATAGAAACTAAATTACAATCAGATGGAATTTACGGAAATCTTTTACAAAATCATATATTGGCATGAATGCTGCTGTCCAAACTGTGAATTTTTTCAAGAGGGTGAAAAATTTATGGATAAATTGTAAATGCTGGGCAAAGACGATCTCGCGAGCGACATTTCAGTCATTGATGTTCAAAATAAAGCCAACATTGTTTTTAGTTTTATCAGCAGAAATTTACATCCAAAATCGTAAGTAAAGGACAAGTGAAGTGTATGCATGAATGTAATATATCAAAGTCAATTTACAATAAGCAACAATAAGCAACTAATACATTTTACGTACGCATTTTACTAATACACTCTAAAAAATCATTACTTAAAACAAATCATTATATTTAAGATAAATATATCCTTTAACACTCGATAAAGAAACACGCGTAAGTCATGAAAGAGCAAAAATGTAGTTTTCTGGATTGATTCAAATTTGTCTTTCTGTGCCCCACTTGTTCAAAAGAACAACACTTGTCTGTCAAATATTGCATAGATTATTGGATTGACAACGTGCGACCCCAGAATACCAAGAACAGAACCAACATTTACATTGACTATGCTACTTTCTTTAGTACATATCTAATACAAAAAAACTGTATACAAATAAATACAACAGACTGCAAAACAAAAAACTTTCATCGTACAGACAAACAAAGTTTTAACATTCCATCTGTATCTGTAAAGACTTGAGCTGGTAGAGGATTGTAGATAAGACTGTTTTGCATTGGAAAAAGCTCTAAGTGCTTTTCTTTGTTTGATCAATGCTTGAGCAATTATGGAGTAAGTTAAAGTCATGAAGATTATTAGGAAAATAAAGAAACATGAATAAAAAGCAAGCAATTTGTACATGTAATAACGATCTTGAGGATTCACAATGCACTTTTGAAATGTTATTCCAACTGTCGCAACCAAACCAATGATGTATGCTGAGCCACAAATGATTTTCATCTTTCGTCGACTGAAGGATTGTTTCAATGGATGAACTAAAACAATAACGTAGAACTGTACAATAACGTAGAACTATACAATAACGTATAGAACTATACGTAGAACTATACGTAGAACTATACAATAACGTAGAACTGAAATGATCAACATCATAGATACTCCACTTATTTCAATAAAAATATTTATGCCGTCTATTGAGCAGTCCAACCGAAATGAGTTAATTTTTAAATTGACATGCAAGATTTCAAAAAAAGATAAGTTTATTAACACAAATGTGTCACATATCGCGAGATGTAAGACGAGAAAGTAGTGGTTCTTCTTTAACAGAATCTTTTGTTTTAATATTGAAGCGATCACTAGAGTATTTCCAAAAATACCAAATAGGCATATTGTAATACCCAACACAGAGAAAATTCCCATAGCAATATGTGATAGATATGATTGACTTACTATACGTTTTAGAATGGTCTGTATATTTCTGTATTTCACTTTGCAAATACCCAAAAGAATTTGGTTTTTCGTTGCTCAGTAAGTGAAATACTCAACAAGTTTGTTATATAACTAGTTCTGCCTTCTTTAATGACTGTACTGACCAATTAGAATTCATGAAAGTTTATAATGTGTAATTACATAACCAAACATTATTAAAACGTAATGCTTTTTATAAGATTTAATTTTAAAATATTATTACAGTTAAATAAAAGCAAACGCATTTGCTTTTTTCTGAATGCGAAGCCATTTTAGGTTCTATTTATTTATAACTTACCTATATCTTTCTATCTTTACATTTCTCTCTCGAATCTTTAAAAGAACATGCTCCAAAACTTTTCCAACGTTCCACAAAAGAAAAAATTGAAAAATAGTATCATAATGAAGAAAACTTTTATTATTTACTAGAAAAATGACGAGTGTCATTACTTATTTGGGTTCTAGTGTGCACGTATATATTGCTTAAGTTATTTTGCAGATAACTTTGAGTTATTTTGGTTAGTTTCCGTGTTGTGTTATCCAAAGCAATTAAATTTTTAAAGAATGCTTCACAAGTCTTCATTCTTCTTAATTCTATATTTAAATTTGTAAAAGGCTTAATTCTTGTTTCAAGACATTAAATTTTTAATCATCTCCACTACTAGATTAGAACAGGAAATATGCAAGTGATTAAAAATGTTTTGCTATCTGCATTTGCTAAAATCTTCTTGTACAACACTTCCAAAAGTACAGCGCTTGTCTGTCAAGTATTCCATAGATTAATGGATTGACAGCGTGTGATCCCAAAATTCTTACACAATAAGCAACTGATAAGTTTACTGTGTTAGTTTCAGCAGAATAAAAAAAATGCAACCAAGCTGTTATATAATAAATATGACCAAGGGAAAAGCAGAAAACCGTTATTGCACAAACGAAAACGTTTTTAAACCCCGAGTATATCTTTGAGAACTTGAGTTGGTTAAGCATTGAAAATGAGACGGTGTTGCATTGGAGAATGCTCTTAGGGCTTTTCTTTGTTTGGTCAATGCTCGAGCGATTATAGAGTAAGTTACAGTCATGAATATTATTGGGAAAATGTAGAAACACGCAAAAAAAGCCAAATATAAAACACGCAAATATCGACTTCGATTTTCACAATGCACTCTTGAATTGAAAATCCAACTGTCATAATCAAACCAAAGATGTACGCTAAACCACAAATGATTTTTATCTTTCGTCGACTGAAGGAAGGTTTCAATGGATGGACTATCGCACGATAACGTAGAACTGAAATGATTAACATCATAGATACACCACTTATTTGAAAAATAGTATCTATACCACTTATATGTGAGCAGTTTAACAAAATTGGATTGCTTTTCAAATAGTGTTCAAAGATCTCATAGAGAACTATACTTATTACTACAAATGCGTCACATATCGCGAGATGTAAGACGAGAAAATAGTAGTTCTTCTTTAACAGAATCTTTTGCTTTAATATTGTAACGATCACAAGAGTATTTCCAAAAATACCAAATGTGCATATTGCAATTCTCAACACAAAGAAAATTCCCATAACAATATATGATGGATATGATTGACTTACTATACGTTTTAGAATGGTCTGTATATTTCTGTATTTCACTTTGCAAATACCCAAAAGAATTTGGTTTTTTCGTTGCTCAGTAAGTGAAATACTCAACAAATGTGTTATATAACTTGTTCTGCCTTCTTTAATGGCTATACTGACCAATTAGAATTCATGAAAGTTTATAATGTGTAATTACAAACATCATTAAAACTTAATGCTTTTTATAATATTTAATTTTAAAATATTATTATATTTAAATAAAAGCAAACGCACGTAACGTCTCATCACAGCTGCAAATGTGAAAATGCACGTTCCCTAAGACAAAGCGCATTCAAAAGTATCCCAATTTATCATATTTTATTTGATGAAAAGCCATAGTGAACAGTAAATTTTGACTATTTTAGGCAAAATCATTACATTAAATTCCATAAAATATCAAGAACCTCAATAATCAAATGCTTGTCAATATTTAAGGTCATGGAAACAAGCATAAACTGACGGAAACTAAAATGACTTTTTTACGAGAATTTCTTGCTTTTTCATTTTTTCTATATTTCATTTTCCAAATGCCATGAAAAAGTGTTCATTAGTTCCTAAGTTTTTCAGGTAAATTGTTTTAAAATATAGCAGTACAATTTTACGCATCTGCTCTTTCTCATTCGTTCTAACTTATATTTTTAATTACTCCAAATACATTCGCTTATGCTTCACTGTCAAAGACACCGCCAACACTCAATTTTCTCTAAAACTTAATGAAGCCTTACACATAAGCAAGCAAAAACTGATCTTAACAAACAAATTAAACAGTTTAACTTCATTTGTTACCGAAATGAGTTAATCTTTAAATTGGTACGCAAGATATTAAAAAAAGATAAGTTTATCAATGCAAATGCGTCACATATCGCGAGATGCAAGACAAGAAAGTAGTAGTTCTTCTTTAACAGAATCTTTTGTTTTAATATTGTAACGATCACAAGAGCATTTCCTAAAATACCAAATACACATATTGTGAGAATGAGAGTTATATCAGCTATCATCATGATATAAGTGAGCTACCTTTTTAGAGTGCTATAGTTTTCGATATCTCACTGTGGAAATGCCATGAAAATTTGTGTTTTCAGTTTTCAGTGTGTTGTCTTGTTCTATATTTT